AATTTTCATGGAGCGTGTCGCCTCATGGGGGCGCCATGTTGAGATCAAATGACTCTCAGTAATCATCGAATCAATGAAAAGTAGCTTAAAGGGTTAGTTCACCCAAAAATGAAAATTATGTCGTTAATTACTCACCCTCATGTCGTTTCAAACCCGTAAGACCTTCGTTCATCTTCAGAACACTTGGAGAATATCCGCTGGACGTAAATAAACAGTGTATGCTGTTCTGTTCAACGAATTGTTGAATAAAGTCTTTTTTTTTCTTTTGCACACAAAAAGTATTCTCGTAGCTTTGTATAATTACGATTGAACCCCTGATGTCACATGGATTATTTTACAGCTCTCAGATTCCATCAAAAATATCTTAATTTGTATTCCGAAGATGAACGAAGGTCTTACAGGTTTGAAACGACATGAGGGTGAGTAATCAATGACAGAATTTTCATTTTTGGGTGAACTAACCCTTTAAAATGTACTCACTTGCAGGCCACCCAAGATATATATGAGTTTGTTTGTCATCTGAACAGATTTGGAGAAATTTTGCATTAAATCACTTGCTCATCACTGGATCCTCTAGTAACACTGGATGAAGAAATAAGGATTATGGACTTATATATTGACCAGAGACAACGGTTTAAACTTAAAATGTCTTAAAGGGATAGTTCACCCAAAAATTCATATTTTGTCGTTAATTTCTCACCCTCATGTCGTTCCAAACCCGTAAGACCTTTTCCTGCATGTAAACAACGCATGGGCTGTGTGCCTTGTTTACATTCAGAGGAGAGCACGCACATGTGTCGGGATACTCTGCAAAATGACGCATAGGAGAAGAATTGTTGAATAAAGCCATTAGTTTAGTTTTCTTTGCACACAAAAAGTATTAGATTCATAAAATTACGGTTGAACCACTGATGTCACATGGACCATTTTAACGATGTCCTTGCTACCTTTCTGTGCCTTGATCGTGGTAGTACCCTTGCCGTCTATGCAGGGCGAGAAAGCTCTCGGAACATGGGGGTGAGTAATTAATGACAGATTTTTCATTTTTTGGGTGAACTATCCTTTTAAGATTAGATTTGTTTCTTACAAACACGCAGTTTGTTGCTTGTTTCAAGACATTAATTGATGGACTGGAATCATATGGATTACTTGTAGATTCTTGTGATGTGTTTGGACTCTCATTCTGACGGCACCCATTCACTGCAGAGGATCCATTGGTGAGTAAGTAACACTAAACTTCTCCAAATCTGTTCCGATGAAGAAACAAAATCACCTACATCTTGAATGTTCTGAGGGTGAGTAAATTTGAATCAAAATGTCATTTTTGTGTGAACTATTACTTTTAAGATGATCATCACTGACTTGTGAATAGAGGATGTCTACTATACTATTCTTCTATAAATCTCATGAAAACAGACAGTGTATGTATAAATGATTTAATGCCAACAACTTTAATGACAAGTCTACAGAAAGCCTCTAAAGTGCAAAAGCATCATATGCAT